TAAAGAAAAGAAAAATTAATTCATGTTTGCTATGGTTTCAGTGTGCACCCCTGCAGTAACCCACATGACTTTAGACTTGACTGGTTTGACAAGGAAGACAGACACATGTCAGAAAGGCTGGGACTGGGAGGGCTATGCACACTGATGGAGATGCACCAGCAGCCTGGAAACTCAATGGGTTTACTTTATGTCTCTGAAAAGAGGTGTTTTTATGGCATACACGTGAACAAGGAGATGTGTTTATAGTACATACCTGAACACGGAGTGGTTTTATAGTACATGGCTGAACATGGAGGTGGGTTTATTGTATATAGATGAGCAAGAAGGTGGGTTTATGATATATGGCTGAACATGGAGGTGGGTTTATGGTATATGACTTAACATGGAGGTTGGTTTCTGGTCTACAGATGAATAAGAAGACAAGTTTAGCTGACCTTGGTAGGAGGACTCTGTAGCATGTGGTCTCAGGCCGTAGTCATACAGAAAGAGGAAGGTGTGATTAATAATTTCTGTACACTCTATCAACATTTGTCCTCAGACCAGGAAAAGACCTGGTCATCCCCTTGAGCCTGACAGAGAGAAGGCCTTGTCATTCCCAAGGGTGTGAGGCACTGGGACTCTTGACACAGCCCATGTCTGTGTCAAACAACACACACTCATCCCTTACTTCATCCACTCCCCACATACCCTCAAAGTTTGCATGTTGGAACCTTAGTCTTTCAGTCTGGCAGTGGTGAGAGGTAAGGTCTAGGGGATAGAGTTTGAGTCATAGACCAGAGCACCCTTGACTGAATTAATGCCTTCCTCATGGACCTGGCTAGTTCTCCTGGTGGTGGGAGTTCTTGCTCTCAAGCGTCTGGATCAGTCACCACTAGAGCGAGTTGTTGTAGAGGGAGGCTGGTCTCCCATTTTGTCTTTTACACATACATGCTTGCACTCCCTGTTTTCACTACGAATTCCAAGGGGTGGACTGCCAGCATCATGCTTGGACAGAGAGCCTAAATATACTTGTTTTCTTCGTAAGTTCCTAAGTTTAGATATTTTGTTGCAGCAACAGAAAGCAGACGAAGATGACGTGACAGGAGACTTCCAAGTTAAGGGTTCAAAGACATCTTTGAGATTCCTTTATCTGGTGCTGCTCAAAATCAACAACAAAAACTGATTCTTAGAATAGAAACACATGAACAATTACTCAGACTTTTTCTAATACAATCACACCATTGTGTTTTTTTTCATGATTTTCTTATTCTAAATATTTTTCCAAGGGCGCTATATAAACAGACTTCTCAGGTATAATAATTCAGAAGGGTAGCTACACTGGGTGGCCAATGAGTGACCAGCTGAACTTGCATGTCCAGGAGATAAGTAAATTGAGGTCTTAAATTTCTTGAATGTTTGCTGCTTTGACTTCAATAGCTTAGTAATTTATTGTAATGTATTGAACAAGAATGTCTTTTAACTCTGTTTTCTTTTTAAGATTTATTTTTATGTTATATAAATGAAGGCTTTGCTTGAATGCATGTCTGTGCATTACATGCGTGCCTGGTTCCTGAGCAGGAAAGAAGAGGGTACCTGAAACTAACGTCACAGATGTGGTTATGGAAGCTGGGAAGAGAACCTGATTGGCCAGTGCTTTTAACTACTGAGCCACCTCTCCAGTCCCAATTACTCTGTATTTTTTAAATATTTATTTTGTTTTTACTTATGTGTGTATATGTGCCTTTGTGCTTGTATGGGGGTATCCTATGAGGTGGAAGGAGGTGTCAAATCCCCCTGGGGCTAGAGTTACAGAAAGTTGTGACTATCCTAATATGGGTTCTGAGAACCACATTCTGGTCCTCTACACCAGCAGAGAACACCTTTAGTTAGCCCTTGAGCCATCTCTCCTGCTTCTAAGTTCCCTTTCTACTTTGGAAAATCGGAACTTGTAAGTTACTTGTTTGTCTCTTTGAACTGTGTATAAATACTGCCTTGACCTCTGGACAACTTCACAATCCAGGGATGTCTTTCTCAAGGACCTAGGAAAAATCTCTGAACTAAAAACACAGCGGAGGAAAGTATTCCCAGCTCTAGGTCTCTGACGGCAGAGACGCTGAAGAGCAAACACAGAAGGTCTAATCAGGAAAAAACACTTGAAAACTCAGAAATGACCCGATGCACTGGATATATCTTGTGGACCAACATCTCTGACAATGCCATCGAGAACCTTTCTACTAACTCATCCTGTTTTTCCTTTGCGATCACTTTAAGAGCTAGCCACGCCCACCCCCAGCCACTTCGGACCTCCCCCGTCGCCATTTTTCTCTCTCTTGTGTTTGTCTCGTGTCGTGTGTACATGTGTCTTTTGTTTCTCTCTATGTTTCTCTTATGTTTTTCTGTTTTCCTCTTCTTTAAGCAATAAATGTCTCCCTCTTCTTTAAATAATACTATGTCCTGTGAGCCTCTTATCCATCGTAACCACCCGCCTGACTCCCCCGGCCGCATGGCGCTGCCACCCTGGAGATCTTGCAGGGACCCACAGCCATCCTTGTCGAACTACAAGCTGCTCCGCGAGCCGCCCGGGGCATCCCATCATCATATTCTTTTTTAAAGAACAATACATCCCAGTTTAAAATTTCTCCTGCCTTTGGTCCACTGGAGTTGAGCCTCTCTAGTCTGCCACAGTTGTCTTTAAAGTCTTCCTAGTCTTTTTAACTCAGTACAACATTTCCCAAGGTGATCCAGCTAGTGGGTGAATTGAGTTTTACTGCGTGCACAGAGGGATGAGGTGACTGAGTTTTACCGTGTGCACAGAGGGATAACTTGAATAGAGTGCCTTTGATCGTAGAATATTGTCATGTAGGCATCTCGTCTCTAATGTGTTTTGTTTTTATCCTTTTATTTATAGGATTCTTGATTGTTATGAAAGACTGTGAAAGATCCCCGGTGCGGGGAGACTCTCACTCAAGTCTTGGGATAACACGACCCCCATGTAACTCTTGAGAGACCGTCCTTGCTGCAATCACAGGAGGTTTATTGACAGGCACTGGGGCAGAGACTTATAACCCACGCAGGGGAGGAGTTCGACCCCAAATAACTGGGAGAAGGGGTTTTTAAGGGAAGAAACCACAGCCCAGTACTCCGAACGGGGTAGGGAGGGCATTGTCATAGAAAATTCCGAAAATCCAGTGATGATCACAAGGGGGCAACTCCCTGTTTTTCAAGATCACTCTCAAGATTACAATCTAACTTTATCTTCAGCTAGTTCCTGAAACAGTCACTGAACCGGCTAATCCTAGATTTCTGCTTCTTCTCTTCCTGCTTAGATTTTTGGCTCTATTTTTTCCTGCTAGGAGGTTCTGGGTTTATCCAGGTCTTTCAACTGCATTTTAACAATAATAAACATAAAAGTGCTGTAAAAATGAGTGAATTATACAGACAAGATGATATGTTTGTTTGTCCAGAAAACCCAAAAGATTTTATAAAAACACAATAAGAACAAAAGTGGAATTTTGAAAATGGATGTTCCTGTGTAGAAAAATGGAAGCTGCTCTACTTTCAGACAAAATTTATATAAAAGAGCAAATGTTATATTAAATAATAATTGTGATGCTAGTTAAAGGAAAGGCTCTGTTTTTACATTCTAGAATGAAAACTTTTTCCTCAGAATATGTTTCTTTGTCTGGTTTTGGTATCAAAATCTCATTAAGTTACCTGAGAATATTTCTGCTCTTCTGTGCTTTGGAAGATCTTATTTAAAAAATTATATTATTTCTTCTTATAAATTTTGTTTAATATTCACTGTCAGTTCAGGTAGATTTAGGGTTCCTTTTATGAGAGGTTTGAAAGTATAAGTTGAACTTTTTAGATCTACTTGAATGTGAAAATTAAAAAAGAATAGATTTTTCAATGCCAAATACTTCAAGAATTTGGAGAGCAACTGGGATCTTCATATGTTGCTGGTGGGAACATTAATTACACAGACAGTATTGAAAGTAGCAAAGCAGTTTCTTGCAAAGTCAAGCATTACAATCAATATGACCTCAGGTCTCCTCTCCTAGGTATTTACCCAGGTGGGTGATCGCATGCGCCTTCACAGATACTTCTACCCATGTGTGTACATTACAGAATAAATGAGTGTATCAGCATCACCACGCTGAAGGAAAGGAAGCAGACACAAACATCTACTTTACACTGTTACTACATCTATGTGAAATTTTTGCAGAGGCAAAATTATAGTCATTGAAGGTTGATCTGTGGTTGCCAAGGGCCAGAAGTTGAAAAGAAATATACTGTCAAAGGCCCATGGGAACTCTGTGTTAGGACAGAAATATTTTATACAAGATTGTAGTGGTGACTTCTATTCCTATACCTGCAGTTCTCAAAATACCTTTATGAAACTCAGCACAATATAGAGCAATTACTTACCAATACCATTTTTAAAAATAAAGAAACGATCAAACTGTATGTTAGAGTCGGTGAGTTGGTAAGTTATGTCATAGAAACAGATTATTTAAAAGATAACGCCAAGGCAGTTGTGATACGGCCACCTCGTATCCACGGAGGAGGAAAATAAGACAGGGAAAGCTGCTAAGTCACACAGAAAAGATCATAGGTACAGGGAGCTGGGTGGTCTGAGCCACTTTTGAATCAGTGGATCACACTCCTTGACCAGTATTAGAGCTAAAAAATTAATCAGCAGCCCACTGGGCCCCAAGGTCACCCCTAGTAAAAAGGACTTGACACTGATACACATATAACAGTACAGTGGAATTCTGCCCAAAGGAAAACGGGTCCTATTACTAAGAGAAAATAGAAAGTACGGGGTGGGGGAACTAAGAAATGTCCTCTCCCAGATAAAATAGTAAACAAATATGTAAACATGTTTAAATTAATTTTATAACAGAAGAGTCAGATATTTAATGATTTGTCTCTGAACAGAGTTGACCTTAAAGCCACCAAGGGAGGTGGCATTTCTCGAGGAAAATCCGAGTATTTTCACATAGTATTGACCCAAATGGCATCATTATTAAATCTCTCCATTTCATGACCTCCGTTCTTCAAGTGTTTTCTTCACGCTGTGTTTTTGATCGACTTACTCAAAATGCCGCCAGCATTTTCCAAGCATTTTTCTGATAGCTGTCGTCACCTCCTTGTTCTTCAGGCTGTAGATGAGGGGGTTCAGCATGGGGGTGATGACACTGTACTGCAAAGAGAAGATGATTTCCATGGGGGAGCCCGAGGTCGGCATGGTATAACGCAGTCCGGCTGACCCGAAGTACAGGATCACTATAGTGAGGTGGGAGGAGCAGGTGGAGAAAGCCTTGCTTCTGCCTGCGGTGGAGCGCATGCTCAGGATAGTGGAGAAAATGCAGCCGTAGGAAGCTAAAACCAGAAGAAAAGTCCCAGAGGCGTGCACAACAAAAGACCAGAGCAAGACAGTGGCATTAGTGGAAACATCCGAGCAGGAGAGAGGGAAGAGGGAAGGAATCTCACAGTTGTAGTTGTGTATAGTTCCATAGTCGCAGAAGTCCAAATTCGCAGCTAGGAGGGTATTAATGAGTGAGTTCAGTATGGCCAGTCCCCAGGAGCCCCACACGAGCCCCTCACAGAACCAGCTGCCCATTATCTGGCGATAGAGTAGAGGGCGGCAAATGGCTGCATACCGGTCATAGGCCATGACTGCGAGGAGTAAAGCCTCGGTGCCTCCAATGGCGAACACAAAGAAGGCCTGAGCCAGACAGCCCTTCACGGGGATTGTTTTTTTCTTGGATATTAGGTTTTCCAGCATCTTGGGCACGGAGACTGACGAATACGAAAGGTCGACGAAAGAGAGGTGACCCAGAAAGAAGTACATAGGAGAACGGAGGTGAGCATCAGCCATTACCGCTAGTAGAATCACAGAGTTCCCTGCCAGGGTCAGGCCATAGATCACAAGGAAAATCACACAGAGTGCAGCTTGGACCTGAGCATCAGCCGACAGGCCAAGAAGGATGAACTCAGAGACCACACTGACGTTTCCCATGGCTGTGTAGTGCATCTTCCTCAGAATCTGAAAAGCAAAAGTGATAAAACAAAAAAACCTCCTCTTATATGATGCCTTCTCTTCCTCAAGAAAATAATTTCTTCCATACCCCAGAATCCAAATTTCATTGACTGTTGATCCTGGTCTGACAAAATTTTCTATATTTTAAATGCCACACGTTTGTGATCAGGCCAGACAGCTGCCCACACTGGCCATTCCCCTCTTCTGACATGGGCTGTTGGGCTTTGGTTGCTATGGAATGCTTTTAGGTCTTCAGTTCTTCTGAAGAAAATGGAGATGTAAAAAACAATGTGGGTGAAGAGTAAAACTATGGGTGGATTCAGGAGACTGGAGTCCCAGTTCAGCTGAAGAGGAACCTCAGTCACGGCAGGAGCCTAGGCAAGAAGGAAGACAGAGATTTCAAAAATATTTTGATGGTGGTCATTTCAACACTGCTATAGAGCAGAAATTTCTTTGGAATAAAGAAAGATAATGAGCTGCCTGATCAACTATTGGCCTTCAAAGACCTAAGGATACACTGTTTTGCAAAATAATAATAATAATGATAATGATAATAATAAATAATGTGAAAGAACAAACTGATACGGAATACCTGTAAGAAAGCAGGAAAGAGATGTATAGTGTAGTCAGAGAGTTAATTATAGTTTCTTATTAAATTTCCTCTTGCTGCTTAGTTTCAGCATTGCCCACGCTCCTCACACTTTTAATCAACAGAGGGTTAAGAAGCTGTTTGAGGTCAGAGTTGGCTCTCACAGGACTTAACCATGTTCTCTAGGTTCTGTGCCAGTAAAGCGAACAGTTGGAGAGTGTGTCTCCCAGGAGTGGTTTACTGACACATGAGTAACAGTCTGCCCGCAGTGCCTAGAGGGGGTCTTGCTTTCCATTCTGAGATATATGTTCTTTATCTCTCGATGACAGAAGAAAGCACTTGGTCGATAATAATATCAATAAACCATTTCTTCCAAGTACAGAGACCATGGTGCCTGGGAGTCAGGAAGGAAGCCATCCTGTTGATGGAGTTTCAGACACTTCAGCACAAAACGTCCCTCCCAAAGTTAGTCCCAACTTGCTTTATAGAAGTATTTATGATTTGAGAAATTAAATCGAAGAAATAAGCCTTTTGGATGTGAGCATGGGTATGTGTGGTTACACACACGCGTGCCCACATGGAGCCCAGGAGAGGATGGGAGTGTGTACTCGGTTACTTTCTGCCCTATCCCTTGACATAAGGTTTCTCATTGAACCTGGAGTGAGACTAGTGAACAGCAAGCCCCAGGCATCCTCCTGTCTCCCCAACCCTGCCACCAGTTCTAGGGTTACAGTAGCTCCTGGCCACACCAAGATTTTTATGTGAGATCTGGGGATTAGAACTTACGTCTTCCTGTCAGTACAAAACTCTCTTACCCAGAAAAAAAAAAAGCCTGTTTTGTGGTGGTTTCATGTGGAATATGCAAGAATATTTAATGATATTCTCAAAGGTCCTCACAGAGGCTTATGTTTTTACTCGAAGGGTCCCAGAAGGACTAGAGAGATGCTTCAGCAGTTAAGGAGGCATACCGGTCTTGAAGACAACGTAGTTCAGTTGCCAGCAGCCACACTGGGCATCTCAGCAGAGATATGACATCTTCTTCCAGTCTCTGTGGATCCCTCCACACATATAAATATACCCACACAGACACACATACACAATTAAAACTTAAAAAATTTCAATAGGGTCCCAGAAAACAAAATAATACTTATATTAAAAATATCTTATTTTATTTCTTAGTGTTTGAAATCACACTGGTTTGGTTATTCATTTCTAGAGACTCCAGAGGAACCAAACTTGAGGAAGTATAATAAAACGAGTTTAGTGGAAACTAAGTGCTGTGTGTTTATTGGAAAATGCTCAAGGGATTTCTTAGAATAACTCACCCAAGAATTACACAAGAAATAAAAACCTCCTCACAGAAGATATTCTAAAAGTTGTATTTGAAACAAGTGATTGAATGCATGGCCCACAGAGTCAACACCTGGTTAGCAGGCAGACGTTTGGGTCAGAGTCTTCCCGGATCTCTGGGAGACTGAGCTGGAAGATGACAGACCTCCAGACTTAGAAGCTGGAGCCAAACTTAAGGTTGAAGATGCTGGGAATGGGCCTCATTGCAGATTTTGTCCTGACAATGTCTGCTGCACCCATACAGACAGGTCTAGTGGTAGAAGTGGGAGGTGGTTCTAATGGCAAAGTAAACAACTCTCAGAGTCCATAAACACGACTTGTTGGATTAAGAGATACAACACAGGTTGATTAAATTGTATTCTTTACATCTTCACTGCTCCCTAGCCTTGCCTCAGAAGCCCTGCTGTAACTTCCTGGCTTCCTGAAGGTTCCAGAAAATCCCCAGATGTTCTGATTCAGAGCTGAGGCTCAAGAGCATCAGAACAGAGAAAGTGGCACTGGGAAGAAAACATCAAAAGTCATTTAACCATTGTGTGTCTGTCTGTCTGTCTGTCTGTCTGTCTGTGTCTGTGTGTATGTGGCTTTTCCCCCAAATTTACAATGTGGATGGCAACACCACTAATGAGAACTTAGCACTAAATAAGCCACATCCGGTATTTCTAACTTGTTCACCATTCTAATTTTAATTATTAAGTGTTTTCTACCAAGCTAAAGAGAAACGAGGAACTAAGATGAGGGCAAGAAGCAGTGTGTGTGTGTGCGTGCGTATGAGTGTGTGTGTTGGGGGGGGTGATAATCTACTCCCCGCGTGAAGCAAGGTGGGTAATCGGAGTAGCAGAAGGGAAAGAGAGGACCCTAGTGAGTGAAGGAAGCATGCAGAGGGAAGGAGAGGACAACCAGGGACAGGAGGTGGCCAGAAGACTGGCTGGTACCGTGTTTACCTTGAGTACACGCCCTGCAGATGGAGAGTTCAGTTAATCTGCCTCAAGGACAAACAGGAAACATTTCCATTCAAGTCCTGTAGCTGGTAATTCTTTGCCTTTCTAGGTATATTTAAGAATAAAAAGAGTCATATTTACAGGAATCTTCTCAGTCAAAAATGGTCAGAATTGTCTCTGAACTCAGGCCTGTCCATTCCCTTGAAGAAGGAAATAGAAATCAGGAGTTAAAATTCCCACCAGTTCATTGTTTAAGCAACTTACTTCCTACAGCCTCGCTCCCAGGCACACATCACTCACTCCATACGGCTTCCACATGGTTCTCAGTATCCAAGAGCAGCAGCAAGCATGAAGTCCTCAGGGGTAACTGAGCATGGCAGCCAGCAGATTTAAGTAGTTGATAGATGGGTAGCTGAATCAGATCCCCAAAGACAGCTCCGCTGGTACCTTGTATTCCTTGAAGGCGTGACCTAACACCAAAACTTTCAACTCATTAGCTCATTTGTTTTAGTTTGACTTGATTTCAAATTGGCATCTAATACCATATGTATGCATTAGGCAGTGTGCTGCTTTGGTGCGTGTATGGATGCTACCATGATCAAGTCAGAATCATTAGCATGCCTGTCATCTCAAACATTACTTTTTTGTGATGAGTATATGAAAATTCTCTTCTAGTTATATTTGAAGTGATGCCAACCTATCGGGTGACAGAACGCCAAAGCACCTCCTCTTAGATTTGAGTTTTCTTCACCAACCTTTCCCCCGAACCCTCTTCCTCCCTCCATGGTCTGGGAACTTTTGTTGAGATCCTTTTTCTTACAGAGGCTCCATCTAAGAGTGAGAGCATACAGTGTCTGTTCTGCGCTTGGCTTCTTTCATTCAGCATAAGGATCTTCAGCTTCAAAATTGTCATAAATGGTAGGATTTTAGGTGGGTCCGTTTCACCTTGACTAAAGGTCAGAGAGTTCAGGCCTGATAAACAAGAACTTTGACTTAAGGTGTGGCTACTAACAAGATATCTTGATCTAGGGTGTGGTTACACACACACACACACACACACACACACACACACACACACACATACACACACACACACGTTCTTTCTGACCTGCAGAGAATACATGAATACTGCAGACTGAAGATAGGAATGAATACAACAAAGAAGTCACAAAAAAAAACCAAACAAATGAAGCTATAATTACTGATACACAAAATCAGACTATGAACACAAACAGGAAAAAGAATGATACACACCGTTCTCAATAATAGCTTTACATAATACTTTACTGTTTATTTTGTGTCTGTTTATTTGTGTCTTTCCTATTGAGGAATTGAGACCATTCTCACTGAGAGTCCTCAAGGAGCAGTGTTTGCCGACTCCTGGTTTGTTTTTTTTTTTTTTTGTTATGGTGTGGGGTTCCCTCCCCACGTCTTTTGATTTGCTGTCATGGGATTATTTATTCCTGTGTTTTCTTGGGTGTTTCTCTTGCAGCTTTTAAAATTTCTTTCTCCTATGTGTTTAGTGTTCTGATTATATGTTGTGGGAATTTCTTTTCTGGTCTGGTCTTTTTTGGTGCTAATTATGCTTCTTATACCTTGTAGGGGTTTTCTCCTTTAGGTTAGAGAAATTTTCTTCATTGATTTTGTTGAACATATTTTCTGTGCCTTTGACCTCAATTCCTGTTATTCTTAGATTTCGTCTTTTCATAGTGTCTCAGGTTTCCTGAATGTTTTGTGCCTGTTTTTTTTTTTTAAGATTTAACATTTTCTTTGACTGAGAAATCTATCTTTTCTATCTTGTCCTTGTCCTCAATACCTAAGATTTTTCTCTTGTATGTTGTAGTAGTTTGAATGCAATTGCCCCCATAAGCTCATAGGAAGTGGAACTAATAGAAGGTGTGGCTTTGTAGAAGTAGGTGTGGCCTTGTTGGAGGAAACGTGTCACTGTGGGGGTGGGCCTTGAAGTCTCATATATGGTGAAGTCATGCCCAGTATCTCAGACCACTTCCTGTTACCCACATATCAAGATGTAAAACTCTCAGCTCCTCCAGCACCACATCTGCCTGCATGCTGCCATGTCCCATCGTGATGAAGACACCCCGATAGTTTTTTTCTTTATGAGAGTTGCCATGGTCATGATGTCTCTTCACAGCAATAGAAGCTCTAAAATATATGTATCGTACTCTGTTGGTGAGACAGACTTTGTTTCACCTCCTAAAACTTTACTATCCAGTTTTACCTCAATTTGGGTTTTCTTTAGTGATTCTGTTTCTAATTTCAGACACTGAACTGTTTCATTCACTTCCTTCCACTGTTTATGCTTTCACAGACTTCATTAAGGGATTGATTGACCTCCTCTTTGCAGTTCTTAAGCGGTTAATAATGCGGTTATTATTCTATTCATAATAGCTATTTGAAGGCTTGGCTTGTGCTTCAGCTGTCTTGCTTTTCAGGGCCTACCCTAGGAGAGTTGCTGGGCTCTGGTGGAGGCTTATTATTCATGGTGGTTTGGGTGTGGTTTCTCGGTGGTATCTGGGTTTCTAGATTTGTGGATATCCATGATTGTAGGTGTTGATACCTGGTCTTTGTTGGGTTGAGGGTTCTGTTCCTTAGTTCCGTCCCCCGCTCTGGACCTGAGGAAACCGTGGTGACTATGGGTTGTCTGGAAGGGAGTACTTCTGAGTCCCTGCCATGTGTGGTTCCTGGGGCTTCCAGGTAGAATGTGTTTCTAGATATTTAGGGCTGGCGTAAAAGGAATGGGCTTGGACTAGGAGAGTAAGGGTCTGGAAGGGTCTACAGGGAGAAGGAAACAGGTCTGCCACAAGAGTTAACAAAGCCCCCAAGGAGTGAAGTCAGAGAGCAAGTGGTGTTCTTACACAGGACCGTGAGTGGTCTTACACAGGGCCATGAGTGATCTTAGGCAGGGCCGTAAGTGGTCTAACACAGGGCTGTGAGTGGTCTTACACAGGGCTGGGAATGATACAGGTGTCTTTGAGTCATTTCTGCTCCTGTCAGTAACCTCTCACCCATATTATTGTGGCCCCAATAAAACTCATTGATTCACCAAGTTGGACTGAGGTTGTAGCCTCACTTTGATCAGTCATGGTTCCTTATCTGGGGTAAACAGATATTTGTTCATGTCTCCCCAGGAATAGTTTCACATAAATGTTCACTAAAATGTTACCCCAATAATAATCTGATTATCATTGTATTAGACAGGTGAGGTAAGAGGAAATCTAAGAATTGGGGTTAGGGAAGTTCATTTCCTTGCTCTGATAAAAATAACCAAAAGTTTCCATGCAATGTATATTAAAAAGTGGGGATTGTGGCTTATTCATTTTAGTGTTCTCAGGATCGGACCCAGAGTCTTGCATTAATGACTGGATGTGAGGGATATAATTAGCTATTTGGAGGAAGTCCTTCGGTAGAGCACCCAGATGGCCCAATGACCTGGGCAGCTTGAATTGAGTTCATGGTTTCCTGTATTACCCTAAAATAGTCAAGAGTTTATCAATGAAAACAAATGGAATAATCATCTTAGTCCAGACAGGCTCAGGGTTTGAATCTCCTATTAGCTACTGGTTCTAATCAAGGTAATATAAGATTGACTAAGTTGGACTGAATGAAATTTTGTTTAAAAAGTAATAATAGAAGTGTGGTGGTTTCTAGCAAAAAAAAAAAAAGGTAAGTGACCAGAGTCACTAACAGCTTATTTTAGGTAGAAATAATTCTACACCATTGTATTTTAGGAATTAAATCCCAGGACTAGAAGGGTATGCCGTAACCTCCCACCATAAGGGCATTTAGTTAGCTTTGTTCTGTGTCCAGAAGACAATGTTCCTCTCTCCAGATCGACCCTATTCTCATTCCCGTTGCTTCACTAGGCCACTTCACATTCTGCTCAGAACCACAGGCGTGGGGGTTTCACAGTTCAGATCACATCCACGGTAGACACTGCCAGTGCTTTTCTGATTTGGCTTTGGTGAAATTAAAATGGTCATTTCTTGTGCATGAAAGAAGGTTCACAGTAGCATGCTTTCCTACATATAACGTGAATGCATAGTGACTGAAATTTCCCTTGTGGAAGATGAAGTTTCTCCTGGGAAAAACACGGTCAGCGATACTACTGGGAAAAGCTCCTGTGTCCACTATGACCGTCTTTTCAAGAATAAAAACCTCCCAGAAGCATCCACTCTCTCACTTATTTGGCTTCACTTGGAGGCAGATGGTCTGGGTCCTAATGCCTTCCTTGTCCAGGAAGTTAGAGTCGCAGCCTGTGGCAAGAGATTGCCTCCTGCTACCCAGCACCCTTGCGTGCAGAGTAAAACCACACATGTGCTCACTCTAGGCTCACGGTGCCCAGAGTAGACTTGTTCTAGAAAAGGGCACTAGCGAAGTGTTCGTGTTCTGGCTGCCTTCTTGCCTGCACTTCTCATAAGCGAATTGTCAATATCAGCAGTCTCCCCTCTGAGAGTTAACCCTTTCCCAGCTCTCAGTCCCCTTTGCTGAATTTCGATATTTTACAAAGAAACAATCCAAGACCACAGGTGCTTAGGAGAAAGGCATGGCTAAGGTCAGAAGAGCGGAGCTCGGACTGGAACCCTGAGTTTTCTAAGTCCCCATCCAGTCCTGCTCTGCTGCCTCCAGCGCCCCGTCAGGAACCACTTACACACATTTAACACTTGTCCTGACCGCCTACACTGTGCCACACCCCATGCTGAATGCTTTCACACCCACAATCTCATTTAACCTTGCATTCACATCCAAGATTTTATATACTGTATATAAAATACTGCAATTCAGGATAAAAGCTACAAATTCACTGTAATCAAGTTTTACCCCCAAATTAATCTTAAGACCATGTCTGAATTAGTAGGACATTCAGAGGTTATTCTTCTCTTGCCCTTGTCTCAAAGACTCATTGAGGATTTGATGGTGTTCCTGGCGGGCATTCTTGTGTAACCCTGGTGATTTCCCTCTCCCTATTCCCTTTCTTTATGAAAGGTCCCGTGGGAATAGCAGAATCTCAATTCCCGCTCCCCTCCCCTTCCAAGCCCCTGCTATGGATCTCACCTCAACACCCACCCTTTTCCCTTCCATTGGCGAGCAAGAGGAAACACAGACACAGGAAGGTCTTGTAAACAGCTTCAATGAAAGAGAGTTACTCTCCTTGGAGCCTGTCTGGAAAAGAAACAGCGCCCAGAAAACAGCTTTGGCATTAAGGATTCCTTGAGCACTCAGGACCTTTGCTTTTCGCAGAAAGCTTGGTGCGTGCTTTTCCTTGTTGGCTGGAAACACTGACAGCTTTGGTCACAGCTGGTTTCTGGATGGTTCGTTTTACCACCCTCTCTGGTTCCTGCCTCTTCTTGTTCCTGTATTTCGAGTTTGGCCTGCTCTCATTTTTAGATCGAGACCTGCCGTCTTCCCTTGAAGGTCCTGCTCTGATATTTTCCATTGCCGTGGCCCTGGTTTGCATCCTGGCTCCCATATGTGCCTCTTCTCTGGCGTTGGTGCACTCCTGCTCCCTGCCCTGGACACACTCCTGTGTCCTGGTCCTGGCACGAGCCTGTTCCTTACCCCTGGCACAAGCCTGCTCCTCGGCCCTGGCACACACTTGGTCCATAGCTCTAGACCTTGCTCTTGACCTGGCCCTTGACTTGACTCTTGCCCAGATCGTTGATCTTGTTCTCCTGGACTTCGCCTTCAAAGTCCTAGACTTGTGTCTCCAGAATTCTCTGGCCTTCTTGGCTGCCTTGCGAGGCGAGCAGAGTCTGCATGGTCTTAGTGATCGAGATTGGGGTCGGGATTGGGATTGGAGCAGGGTCTTCCTTGAAGAGCGGCGGCCCAGCACCAGCCCGGACTGTCCCACATTTCTCCGCGATTTAGGAACCTTGCAAACCCTGAAGTAGCCTGTAGCATTGCTGCCACTGACCCGCAGAAGAGTACCCCTCTCAGATTTGGTAGATTCCCGGTTGTGTCCTTTGATCTTCCGGCATACTTCATAGCCAGCATTTCCCAGCTTCTTCTTGAGCTGTGTCAGAGTCAGCCTCCGTTGGCCAGCGATGGCCCTGAGCAGTAGCTGGGACACCCTGAGCACTGAGCGCATGCCCTTCCTGGCTGGTGTCCCCAGGGTTCTCTGTGCGGGCTCTTGGATCTGGATCTTAATTTCTGCACCTTGGGATACCCCTCTGGGCCGGGCCCCCTCAGTCATGGGCCCCGCTTCCCTTTCGCGGGGCCACCTACTTTGATCTGGCCTCAGGACTTAGGAAGTGTGGAGCTTTGGTGTGCCCACGTCACAAAGGGCCGCCCCCACCCCGCGCTGGTGCCTTGGTGGGAGGGCAGACACAGCTTGCCTGCAGACTGACCTCTTTGACCCTCCCACTCCCCACTACCCACTCCCCACTCCCCACCCCTGCCGAGTTCTTCAGAGCTGCTTGGCTCTCCCCTCCAGGGATTTGATCTGGGTTAGTTCTTGCATGAGTTCATTATCTTTCTGGGGCTGTGCTAACATCCACCCAAGAAAAGAGGAGCTGCCCCCAACCCACACCAAGAAACCAATATGATGTGTGTAAAAAGGAAGAGAGGGGCTCCAAGAAACAAAAGCCCAGAGCCCCACCCCCACCCTACTGCCACCTCTGCACTTTGTCTCAAAGCAACCTGGCTGCACAGTGGAAGGAGCCCAAGGGCAGGAGAGAAAGAAGCTCTTCTGTGGTCTCCCTGCTGTTCAGGTTCTCACCATGGCAAGGTGAGAGGCCTCCTTCCCATAAACAGGTTGGCCAGAAATAGCCAGGTTTTGAATCCCCAGAAAATACTTTCTTGGATGGCCTATCCACTCTTTTTTCACTGCCTAGACAAACTTTCAAGTTCTTGCCAAAATTCTTTCTCCAAAACTGAAGCTCTCTAGGCCAATTGGTTTCTCTTCTTAATTACCACAACCACAATTATTTCAGTAATCCAAAGTGCTTCTTTTGTTTTGTTTTTAATTTGGTGTGTAAAGGTACAATGCATGTAGTAAGCTTTAGAAAAGAAAAAACCTGGATTTTGGTTAGGAGACATAGGTACATATCAAACCCAGAACTCTACTCTAACACGGAAGATGTGGTGGTCCAACCTCAAGCTAAAACCCCAACTGAAAACCAAACCAAAGCTTCACTGTGATGAAATACCTCCTAAGACTTTCTGCTTATGTGGGTTACTTTACTGACTGGTTTCATGTCATCTTGATACAAGCTAGGGGCAACACAGAGAAGGGAACCTCAATTGGAGAAATGCCTTGATGAGATCCAGCTGTAAGGCATTTTCACAATTAGTGATTGTCTTGGGGTTTCTAGGGCTGTGAAGAAACACCATGACCACAGAAACTCTTATCAAGGAAAACATTTAATTGGGTGGCTTATGGTTTAAGAGGTTTGGTCCATTATCATCATGGCAGGCCATGGAGGTATGTAAGCCGACATGGTGCAAGAGAAGGAGCTACATCTTGATCCTGCAGGCAACAGGAAGTAGTCTGAGATACTGAGAACAGCTTGAGCATATATGAGACCTCAAGTCCACCTCCACAGTGACACACTTCCTCCAACAAGGCCATACCTACTCCAACAAAGCCCCATCTCCCAGAAATGCCATTCCCTATGAGCTTATAGGGGTCAATTACATTCAAACTACTACAGGGATCAAAAGGGGAAGGTCTAGCCCATGGTGGGTGGGGCCATCCCTGGGCTGGTGTTCCTGAGTTCTATACAAAAGCAGACTGAGTAAACCCTGTGGAGCAAGTCAGTAAGCAGCACTCCTCCATGGCCTCTGCATTAGCCCCTGCCTCCAGGATCCTTCCCTGTTTGACTTCCTATTCTACTTTCCTAGGTTGATGAACAGCCATGCTGAATTGCAAGTCTAATAAACTCTTTCCTCCCCAACTTGGGTTTTGGTCATGGTGTTTCATATCAGCAATAGAAATCTTAACTAAGACAGTTACTTTAATTAATTTTTTGAAGTCATCATGAGAGAGGGGTTACGTTATGGCATCCTCATACATAAACTTCATACATTTTTCTTTTTCATCCTCCTTCCCTAGTGCCTATTCCCTTGCTCTCTTCCTGTTGCCAAAGGTCACTTGTTGGTTCCCATCAGCCCGGCTAGCCTAGACCCAAAATACTCACACAGAAACTATATTAATTAAATCACTGCTTGGCCCATTAGCTCTAACTTCTTATTGGCATATATATATATATATATATATATATATATATTATTTAACCCATTTCTGTTAGTCTGTATATCGCCACGTGGCTGTGTCTTACCAGATAAAGTTCCCAGTGTCTATTTCCAGTGACTCCATGGCTTCTTCTAACTCCGCCTTTCTCCTCCTGTGTTATAGGCCAAGCCAGTACCTTTATTCATTACCCAATAAAAGCAACACATAGACTGAAGGACCTCTAACACCATTTCCCCTTTTCTGTTTAAACAAAAAGAAAGGCTTTAACTTTAACATAGTAAAATTACAAATAACAAAACAGTTATCAAGCAAGAATTACAGTTACAATATTTATATCTACTTTATCTTTTATCATAACTAAGGAAAACTATAACTATAAATTCTTCAACTCCATCAAAGACTCCAGAAGCACATAATATTACCTAAGTAAACAAGAAGTGTATTGCAAGCAACTTCCAAAATTCTAGAATTGACAGGGACATCTCACTACCTGGACAGTCACCCAAAGTTCTTCTGTACCATTGGGGCATCCATCTTCAGCCTACAGGCCCATAGTATCCAGCAGACTTTTCCAGGAAGCAGGAAATTTCAAAGACAGTTCCACTTATATTGGCAGTTTGTCCATCCCATTTTTTGGTGTCCTAAAGAATGTCTAGCAGACTCTTTCAAGAATCAGGAACCCCAAAGGATCATCTCGCCTTTAGGTAAGTTTAGCAGTCATTTCTTTGTGGATCCTGAATGTCCAGTTTATCAAGCAGTCTAGGCAAAAGCAGTTTCTTACCAAATGATCAACCAACTCCACAAAGAACCTCTCCAATGCCCATCATCCTCTTGAAGTAGCTAGGTGCTACCAGGAACAGATGTGTCTCACTGTCTTAAAAAGTCTTAATTTTTCAAACATTTTAATTACCATATTCTGAAGATCTCTGAAAGATTTGAAGAATACCTATCTAACTGAAATATATCTCTATACAGCTAGAAAATCTAACAAAAGCTTGACTATTATGGAAGTTTATCTACTAACCTATATTTCTTAATTATACATTACATTTTTAAAATGAACTACACAATCACAATACCTTAATCATGAGCAGAAATATACACATAACAAGAGTGACATTAAATTTGTGTCAATAAACCAAGATCTATACCAATGCAAACCTCTATAGCAAATCCCACTTTAAATGTAAAGAAACATTTACAAACAATATTTGGGAATATGGGTGTAGTTTTGTCCAAACTTCTTCTTGCTGTTTTTTTGGGTAAAGTAACTTTTGGGGATGTTCATGGCCACGGCTCCGGGGGGGGGGGGGGGCTGTCATAGTCTATTAAACCATATTAGCCTGCAATGAATCTACAGGTTCTCATCTTCTGTGGAAACCAAAGAAGAACCTCTTTTCTAAAGCAATATATCCTTAGACCCAAATTCTGAAGTCAAGATACCCTTATAATTATTATGCCCAAATCCGTGGGTCCCCACAAAAGTCAACAAAGGAGACAGAGTTCCATATGTAAAAGCAAAGAGCCTTTATTTTAATCAAGCTTGCAAACTCAGTTTCTCCACATGTCCGACATATTGGAGTATCCGGAGAGCCCCGAGCTCAATTAGAATTGGATTTTTATAGTAGTAAAGGTGGGGGTAAGGGGTCTCTGAGGTTCAGGACCCCTGATTGGCTGACATTTGTCTAGGGGTGTCCTGGTGAAGTGCTGGCAGGTGTTTCTATTTACACTGCTTGAAATGCTAGGAATTTTCTTTAAATGGTCTGCTCTTGGTTGGGGTTTAGTAATCTCAGCTTGCCAGACATTGTCTCAGGGTAAACTATTGAGACTCTAGACTCCATTTAAATTTATCAATGGCCAGAGTCCCAGGTGATAATGATTGGAGGAAGTAAAGAACTTCCTTTCTGCCCAGACTGAGATTATCATGGCTGGCCCTCACAAAAATATACTTGCTGGTTTAGCCTAGTGCCCTACACAATGAAATGTCTCTATACTTAGCTCCCTCACATTCAAAAAATTCAGAGAAGACACAATAATATACATAATCCAGACTTTCTGTGCACATTCCATTTTTACATGACTTATTTTTACTCTATTACTTTTTAATATTTATTTTATTAGCTTTACTCCTTTAATCTATGATTGTCTGTACTCTGTCTCTTTAAAGACTTTGTTTTGTTCTTAAACCATTTATTTCTCTTTATAACTCTCTATACTCTTTTTTTTCTCTCTCCCAAGCCTATGTACATTTATCCAACACTGTGACTCATGTAGAGGTCTTTTATGTCTGAATCTGTCCATTATATATCTGTAATTCTTTGCTGTTCTGAAGAGCTTTTAAAATGGTAAGCAGGTTGGCTGCCGCTGTTCTGGATGCTGGCTCTGCCTTTCTCCACTTTCAGAATGGTGGAGGTACCATTACTGCCAGCTCTGGGACTGCCAGGCAGGAGCTGCACTCACCACTTTAACTCTGAGAATGAGCGAGCAGCACAGAAACCCCTTTATCTGAGCAATAGCTAAATATGCCATGCAGAGCATTGTGCGGCCTGGAAGGATCTCTGTGTTTGGTGGCAGAGATTTGCCATGCTCTCCTGCCTGTGCACTCTTAGCAGTCCTGGTCCTGCCACCTGCCCAGGTGGGGATGCTGAGCGGCGGGTATGGTCTCAGTTATTTTCCCAAGCAGGCATACAAGCACCGGGCTCACAAACCCCATTCAAGTGCTCCAGAGCCTTTTGTGCTGGTAAGCCAGGAAGTTGTTGTTTTGAAGCCGTGGCTTTTTTTCTGCTACCTCTGAATCAGGAAAAGCTCTCTTAAAGGAGCTGTGGCAAGCTGCCAGCTGAAAAAAAAATGAAGCTAAATTTTGTTTTCTTGTGTGTGTGTGTCTAGAGTTCCTTTCCAAGCCCTCCCAGGTTTTACATGGATTTAGTCCACCACGTTGGCACACCAGTTTGTAGTAAGGAGGTCACTTGTTTGTTTCCAGGTGTTCAGCCCTGAAGCAATTACACAGAAACTGTATTATTTAAATCACTGCTTGGCCCATTAGCTCTTGTTT